ACCTTTCCCTTCCTTCGGCTCAGCTCTTTAAAGTGAGATGGCTGTATTATCCAAAGAATTGTCTTCACCACGCTCAGTAGCAGACATCTTGGTTCAGAGCAAAATAAAATGGTGGATTGGTGTGGTGTGGCACGGGGACTTATGGGCTCTTTCAGATTCCTTCAAAGACATCGCAAAACAGAACCTTCACTGCGTAGTCCTTATTCACAGAAACGGATATATCCTTTTTTGACACAGCAGTGTTGCTGTCGGCATAATTTCATGTACTCACTTGCGTTTGAGGGGCTTCCAAGGCAAGAATACTTTTGGCACTCTGAACCCAGTCGCTTTGATTCAGCATTACTGATGCTGGCATTGCAGATGAGTAGTCCTCTGTTGCAGGCTGGCCATTTCTGAAGGCCGTTTTGGGGCAACCAGAGTCTAAACTCCAGTTTGCAGGGCCCAGAAAAGACCAGCATTTCTCAAGGTTGTGGATCGTACATCTCTGATTGTTTCACTGCTGGAATCTTTGGTCTTGTGGTGATGTGATCTTAGTCATTTAGAGGAGGTAACAAGTTTCCTCTTTCACTGAAGTTAATCTCTATGAAGGTCCTCACAAAAGCCTGCATGTAGTCCATGAGTACACAACATGTCAATTATTGAGTTTCAAAAAGTCAAAAGCAAATGTGCAAAATAAAGTTTCATTGTTCAGATAATCTGCTCCTTAAAACTCAGAGAAATAATCAAATACAAGTTTTCTGTTTTCTGTAGCATATTAGCCTTTCTTTCTATTCAGATGTATTTTGGTTTGTGATTTACGGTGCAATGCCATATTAACTGCATTTTTTCTTCAAGCACGCTTGCTAAACATTGCAATGAACGATACCTCTGAAGGCTAGGCATGGGTCGCAGTGTGGGCTTTTTTCTGTTTTTGTCGCATCATAAATTGTCACACAAGTTTGTTGAGGCATTTAGCCCCAAAGGGTTGCTGGGTTTGCACGTTTGTGACGTAAAAGATATATGATACTGTTAGTCCACATGCCCAACAAACGACAAATTATAACAGAGCATCTAACTTTTTAATACGCACTCGTAGCGTTTCACGCCATCTTGGATTACATTCTTTTTCTAGTGCCAGTCTCTTATCGTTCTATAATAGCTAGTTCCAGTTCTCTACAATACCATTCTGTTAATTATTATATTATTGGCCCAAAGCCAAAAAGGACTTTCTTATCATCAAAGCACTATTGTTCCCTTTGTTAGACTTTTGAGACATTTTTGCTCTTGAGGATGCTTCTTTTTGGGTCTTTCTCAGTATATCAACAACTGAAATTACGCAACCATTGAAAGCACTGAGGTCACTGTGGTTCTTGGTCCTTGGTCCTTTGGGTTCTTGGGGCTTTCTAGGTTTCCAGGTTTCGGGGTTTCTGGGCCTCTGGATCTCTGGGTTTCTGGGTCTCTGTTTCTGGGTTTCTGGGTCTCTGATTCTCTGGGTCTGTAGGTCTCTGAGTATCTGGGTCTCTGGGTCTTTAGGTTCCAGGGTCTTTGCAATACTCACTGTCAACAACTTACGTTTAAAAATTGTAAAAACTGCAACAATGAAGCTTTTTTAATTTTTCGTTATGTCATCAAAGTATGGAAAAACCTACTGGAAGGAGAGCAAGTGATGTAGATGTCATTGTGAAACACACAAGAGACTTAGGAGGCGGGATTCAGGAGTTCAGGGAAAGGAGGTGGAGTAGAATTACTGGCTGCAAATAAAATTGCGACGAAGACTACATTTCCTGTAACAAATCGAAAATGCAACAGAATCAACAACGGAGTGAAATATGTAAAAGAACAGTAACTTTAATTGTTCGTTCTCAATCAGTCATCTATAAACGGACAAGTTCTAACAGCCAGTGCCACTCGGCAACCACAAGCCCATCTCTATTACATTGAAGATGCCAACTTACAGAGCGGGATGCCAAGGAATCTTTTTAATGTTGTTAATTCATCTTGACTAATTAACAAAACAAACACCATTAATCCAAAGTATTTGTGAACAGAACAACCTGGGGCTCTCAAAATTGATAAATGCCAAACAAAAAGAGAGCAAATGAAAGAAGGTCGACGCATTAAAAGTTTACTCAGTTATTTTTTAACAATATTTCTAGTTAAACATCGACATCAATGAAAACATGACGACGTGTTGACAACAGAACTGAGGGTAGAAGCCAAAACTGCTTTGAATGAGCACAAAACGTCTTTAACATATTTGTTAAAACAAGAATGTCAGTTTCCAACTAATGCTGGTGGTTTGGCCAGTGTCTGGAACTGGGAATCACTTTTGGGAATTTTGGGAAGCAATGTAGGCATCGTAGGCTTCGCCATTGGGATGATTGTCAACAGCTGCCTTTTTCTGGGAGTTAGTCAATCCATCATCTTGCTTGTTAAATTGTCGACTTTATTCCTCGAGTGATAAGCCAAAATTTGCTAACGTTTCGCCATTCACGACTGAAGGCAAAACTTTGAAAAAGTAATCCGATCTTTCAATATGCTTGACAGTTCCCAGACCGATTTTCTCCAAATGAAGCATTTGGCTTCGAACTCTTTGTTGGTCTGGCCTTGTTCTCCAATTGAATTTTCGGTAGATTCTCTTAGGCATGACAAACAGACTAGGATGTTTCAGAATGGCCTCCTGTATTTCCTGTGAACTCACCGCGTTTCTTGCCCTGACTTCGCCAAGTGCAGCACACTACCGAAAATGTGGGGAAAAAAGACAGCTGTTCAGAGGAGGGATATTATAACTAAACTTGCGAAATGTATATATAGCATTATGGAAATGAACACTGCTATCAAGTGCAGATAAAGAAAACAAATCATTCAAAGCCAACCATACAACTATGAGTATTCCATTCTCCCGGGAAAGGATATATATAGGAGGGAGAAGAACATGCGACTGCACGCGTAAACTTGCTTACTATGTGGAAACAAGGCACGTGGGTGGGAAGCCATCTTCTCACATGTGCGACACTTTTCCACGCGGCAGGCGATTTTGCATGCCTCCGCTTGTCGTTCTCCCTCCCAGTCTCCCCTCACTATTTCTCAGCAGGATAAGGGATTTCTCATAGCCTAATCAGAGGGAGTGGTTGTTCTTTTCATATGGCAGTATGTCTCTTTGCGTTTTCCTAAGAAAAGGGTAGTTTGACATATAAACAAACAATTGACTATTTGAATAGGAATCTACAGATAAAAGACACATTAAATTAATTTAATCAGTCTTCCGTAGGATCTCAACCAAACAAGACAGCTTGTAGGCCATAGGATNCTTTTGGGAATTTTGGGAAGCAATGTAGGCGTCGTAGGCTTCGCCATTGGGATGATTGTCAACAGCTGCCTCTTTCTGTGAGTTAGTCAATCCATCATCTTGCTTGTTAAATTGTCGACTGTATTCCTCAAGTGATAAGCCAAAATTTGTTAACGTTTCGCCATTCACGACTGAAGGCAAAACTTTGTAAAAGTAATCCGATCTTTCAGTCTGCTTGACAGTTCCCAGACCGATTTTCTCCAAATGAAGCATTTGGCTTCGAACTGTTTGTTGGTCTGGCCTTGTTCTTGAACTGAATTTTCGGTAGATTCTCTTAGGCGTGACAAACAGACTGGGATGTTTCAGAATGGCCTCCTGTATTTCCTGTGAACTCACCGCGTTTCTTGCCCTGACTTCGCCAAGTGCAGCACACTACCGAAAATGGGGGGGAAAAAGACAGCTGTTCAGAGGAGGGATATTATAACTAAACTTGTGAAATGTATAAGTAGCATCACAGAAATGAACACTGCTTTCAAGTGCAGATAAAGAAAACAAATCATTCAAAGCCAACCATACAACTATGAGCATTCCATTCTCCCACGAAAGGATATATAGGAGGGAGAAAAACATGCGACTGCATGCGGAAACTTGCTTACCCTGTGGAAACAAGGTGCGCGGTTGGGAAGCCATCTTCTCACCCGTGTGACACTTTTCCACACAGCAGGCGATTTTACACGCATCTGCTTGTTGTTCTCCCTCCCAGTCTCCCCTCACTATTCCTGAGCAGGATAAGGGAATTCTTGTAGCCTAATCAGAGGGAGTTGTTGTTCTTTTCATATGGTAGTATGTCTCTTTGTGTTTTCCTAAAAAAAAGGTAGTTTGACATATAAACAAACAATTGACTAATTGAATAGGAATTTACAGATAAAAGACACATTAAATTAATTTAATCAATCCTCTGTAGGCTCTCAACCAAACAAGACAGCTTGTAGGCCATAGGATATGGGGCTTCACTTTAAGTATCTCCCCTCACGTTTAAGATGGGGGTATCAAAAAGATCAAGACAGTAGTTTCTTGGCTTAAGGGCCCCCCCCATCCTCCCCAAATGAGCTGGGAATACTGTGTTATTCAGCAGGGTAGTAAGGTGCTGACTTTGCTTATAGTCTAACCTCAAAGATATTAATTCACAGCACCAGCTTTAAAATTCACAATGCTATTTTTAACAAAAATTCACCCGGCATTGTTAATTAGTAACAAAATTAACAAAGTAATTTTTTGTTCTTGATTTACAATACTTAAATAACAGACATCTATCTGCCGGTTAGGTTGACTGGTGAATTGAAGAAATAAGGAATCTACCTGTTGTAGGATGGCCCGTTCCTTCTCGAAATAGCCGGAAAGCATGATGGCTTCATTTAAAGTGCCTATAAACCCAAAAATTATTTTTGGCTCACATAAATCTTTGTATATTTCTGAGGAAAATGGCAAAAAAATTTTTGTTTTTGGTCAAAACGGGAATTTTTGATGAATTTTTGAAGTCCAGGTTTGTCTGCCCCACGACTGGGTGAAAGGGAGACTGGGACTAGTGACGTAAAACCCAGACATTAGCAACAGGCAAAACAAAGCAATAACAGAGACAAAACAAAAGCGGAGATGTAGTTTTTGTTGTATGCAGGTAAGAACAATTTTTATTCGGCCAACATTTGTAATTAGCATACACGTTGATCAAGAAATGGCTTCGAACGACTTCAGTTTGTCCTCCAGTTTGGATTCTGAAGTCTTGGAAATGGAAGATTACGAGTTGGAAGTCAAAGGTTCGCCAAACTCGAGCTACATGGCTAGCGACGAGGAAGGCGCGCAAGAGGCATATGCCGACGATCCGCTAGCGGACGAAGAATGGTTAGCGTTGTATGAAAGGGACAGAAAGGAGGAAGAGGTGCTAGAGAAGACGCTCCAAAAGCGCCTTAATGGTACAGAAAAAGCCCGAAATTGATAAGTTGCTACGATAATGGCACTCCCGTCGATGCAATCAACAAGTGCGAGTTTGTTGTTGTCAACATCCAAATTGTTACATCTACATTTTCATGCCCTAAATATTATTTCCATGTGAATTTCATTAGCAGGTGTCAGTGTGGAAATTGTGACCTTCAGTTTTTGCAAAATATCAGCAAGTGTTACTGCTGTTGTGAGCTGGAGGGATGCGTGGAAGCTCTGACAAGCGACCTGGTGCTTCAAGACCTTCCTGAAGACGCCAAGCTTATGTGCATTACTCAGCATCCAGGCTTTAACCCTGTCTGCCTGCAGAAATGGAGCCTGCGGTTGGCATCACACAAGTACAGGACAAAAGGAAAGAAAAAATATGGCCAGACAGTATCAGAGGAAAGGTGAGCAGTTATCTAGCGCATTGCTGTCATTTGAATCTCGGTCACTGCAGGGTACGGGAGATGCTTTTGCGCCTGTGAAAAATTGGTTTTCATAAACCAGTAGAATTCACATGGAAGAAAAAACTAGCTTGGGAATTCATGACTTTTGGATGAAAAAGTTTGGGAAGAGGACTATTTACTTCTTTCTACTTGAAGGTAAATTTAGATTGTTCAACTTTCTGGCTTACAGTGCGACTACTCCAAAGGCCACCCAAGTAAATTCTTTGCAAATTGACCAATAGCATTTGCGTGTTGAAACATCAAAAATTGTCACAAATGTATTGTTTCTGTGGTGTGCAGCTTGCTTGGATTGCTTATTTGTCAAAAATTTATTGTTAACGTCAGAGATTTTCATTCATCAATTTGCAGAGAATTTGCTTGGGTGGCCTTGGTAGGAGTAGTCACACTGTAATCCTATCCAAAAAAGCAATGTTCTCATTTACAAATTATTATTATTTGCTTCTCCCACCAAAGTTTTAACCATTATTATCCTCTACTGACTATTCATTGTCCTTTTGTTTGCTAAATCGATTTGCAGTTTTCTAAGAAGTGTGACCTATCGAGAGTTTTCTCGCCTGGTCTATGGATTATTGGGGAACAGGAGGATACCCTTGCCTACATGTGCATATGCTGCAATAAGGAGAACATTTCCATGTGGCAAGGATGAAGAATTTACTGGATTCAATCTTGACGAGGAGGTTGACTAAATAATGACTGAATAATATAGACTTAATATATAGATAATTTTAATTCCTTTTCTAGGGGTTTCTTCTGACTTGTTTGGTGTATAGCAAGGCTATTATTGTTATAATCGTAAAATTATCCATTTTGATTGGTTCTGCAGACTGGGTGCCCAATAACCCATACCAATTACAACCTCTTGGAATTGGATACCTGTAATTCTACACCTATGCCATTTGCACATCAATCACGTCCACTTAAATGGGTTCTTCCTTGCTATTTTCCCACTGTTTGTAAAACCAATTGAACATAACGTTAGTTTTTCCACATAGGACTTCCTACCTCAAATTTTGTTAATGATATGATTAATTATTAATTGGACCTTATGTCGTACGATTCAGAGAGTATTCATGCTTGTAAGTTCAAATCAGCCTTTCGCCTTGCCAAAACAGCTCAATGGGTCTACCACTAGAGATCTTCACTTCAGGTGATCTGGATTGTTACTAAATATGAACTGTAACTTGTATCAGGCATTTATTTTTTCAAAGAAGGTGACAAAATACAAAAATATAAATGTAAAGAGAACCACATGAAATCAGTCATAGATGTTTACGTGATTATTTTAGACAAGTGATTAAAATGCAGACAACTATGATTGTTTCTTCTGATTCTTTGGACAAGTGGAAACTTTGCTGTGTCCTTTCATGGGGTGTCTGCATAGGGAACGCCTCTTAGGTGTTTTGGATGCTGTCCTTGGCTGGTTTCCTTGTTCTGGCTCTTGAACTTCTGATACTGAAACATAACAAAAATTTCAACATTCGTTTTCACCAAACATAAATTGACAGTAACCTTTTGGTATCCTTGAAGTAAAATGAATTCAGGGTAACCAAAATGGGTTGTGAGAGATAACTATGTTTAGAGGTAACAGGTTCAAGCATATATGGGATTTTTTCCGAAAATGTAATATTGCATTGGAGTTATGTTTCAAATCCTTGACACAGACAAAAAGATCAATAATTTTTGTATGTAACAGCACATGCTTGATACACATGTACAGTGAAAAGTAAAACCACAAGACCAACAAAATAGATGTTAGAATGTGGCTGCTGATACCTGGTGTGGTAGCGGGTACATTTTCTGTTATCTTTTTACTCCTGTCAATTTTTTTCTTCACTGCACTTGATTTGGATTCCTTCTCCAGCATAGTGTTCATAGGAGGAGGTGTCATATCCTTTAACTTGTCTGCAGCACCTTTCAATTCCTCTTTGGTGGCTGTCAGAAATGTTTGAAAAATTTCTTCCACATAATCTACATTGTAATGGAAAGTGAGAAAAAAAAAGGGAAAAATGAAGGAAAGATATTTTGATAGTTCTAATTTTTTATTACATGGAGAGATCGATATGACAAGTATGTGATAACTATCAGGCCATTTCACTAGGCAGACTCACCAAAGTTCTGGGATACTCTGACATTCCTCACAGTCGCTTCGCCATTCTTAAACGTTGGATATGTAAATTTTATCTGCTCAGCATCATCAGCATTCTTTTGGCACTCCCTTTGCAGGTTAAAGTTAAAATGTACTGCAGCGAGAATATGCCTATGGGGAAAACACATATCTATTGTAAGTGTTTTGTAAAGTGCTCCAACCATTCTTCTATTTTAATATCATTTTGGGCTAACATATTTTTTAACCAGAGAATCAGGCTAAGGTTGGAACCAATGGATGTGGAACTGAAGCAAAATTGGGGCTGAAGAAGAACCAGGCTCAGAACACAGACCAGACCCTATTCACCTTCACCTGTCCCCTGGCGCCAAGTTGGCGCATAGGGCCTCAGACCCTATTCAGCAACAAACCTAAATTATCGATTGTGAAATAAAAAACAATAAAAAATGTCATGCCTGCAATACATTCCTGTGTAGGAATATGCAATCATCTTTGGCGCAAAGTGATTCAACATGGAGTGAAACCCTTCCAGACAACTAGTCTGGGCGAAAGGAGAAGCTTGCTTTATGCCCTTCACTAAACTGGCATTTGTGAGTGCACTGCATAATTTTTCATATGCCACAGACCTATTGAAAAAGACAATGAAAATCAAGAAAGAAATAAAAGGTTAATATATTATTTTATAAAATTTTCCTTGGAAAAATCAATACCTGTCTATTGTTAATTAATTACTGATTTAATTCTCTTGGCAGTACAAAGAAATGGTGGTGTTTTAAGTGATTGGAGCATTGAAGGAAAACCAGAAACCTGGATTCAAGTTATTTACTAATGCTGTTTAAATTCCAGGGCTATGACTGTGAATGGTTCCTCTTGCACATTCTGAAAATAAGCTCCCCTGAAAAATATTTTTCATTGCCTTCTTTTGAACAGGGCTTACATGTATTACTGGAACTTAACAGTATACATTTAGGCTATCCTCACAGATTAATACAAGCTGATTTAGTAACATACCCAATTTTAACCATTTTCTTGGAGTAACTACTCCATGAAAGCACTTTTTGAATAAGGCGTCATCAAGCTGCAGGTGTTTGTTAACGATGTGGCTCATGAAAGAGCTGAATTTGGCCCAGATGACCTTTCCATGTTCACTAAACATCGTGGTAGCGCTCCAATACAAGTGATTTTCACACAATCTGATCCATTCAGCTTTTGACTCGCATCCCTTTTCTTTGGAGAGCTTTGAAAGAACTTACCTGATTTCTAAGAAAAAGCAGGATGAATCTTACAACTGGTCCACTATAATACTAATTGTATAATGAAAATATTAGCCACATCTATCTATCTGCTATAATTATTTTACTTTTTCACTTGGTTATTATTTCACTATCGATGAGATCATTGTTTGTAACTGGGTTATGGAGCTTTGTAAAGCACTAACAAGTCAATTAATTCAACATAGTAAAGTTTTGACAAGTTTCACTCCATAAACCTTGTATTAAATTTAAAAGTGATTTTTTTGAATTTCGTAATGGCTATGTAGCACTAAAAGTATGTTTACTTTTCTTTAGATGCCATATGTCAAAGTTGTGGATTGTGTGTGACAAAGACTTCCTCATGTAGGCAGCAATAGACAAATGCTGGTCAGAGACAAATGCTGTGATAAGCAGGCCATACCCCATCAAGAACTCCATGCAGGATTTGAATCCCTCAAATTCCATTGCTGGACTGCTGCCAGCTTGATTTCTCTGTTCAATAAGAAAAAAAAGATATATTTACAATGCTTATAGCATATGCTCTAGATGAGGCATGCTAATAATAATAATAATAATAATAATAACAATAACAATAATAACAATAATAACAATAATAACAATAGGCCTATAGGGGTCGGCGAGGTGATACAAAGGATTATTGGAAAGTGTGTAAGGAACGTTTCTAAGGGAGACGTGGTTGAGGCGAGTGGTTCACTCCAGCTATGCGCAGATCAAAAGTCCAGCAGTGAGGCTGCTATACATGCTATGCATGCCATATTTGAAGCAGATGACACGGACGTGGTACTGCTCATCGATGCTTCTAATGCATTCAATGCACTTAACAGAGCAACTTCACTGCATAATATCCGGGTTCTCTGCCCTGTAATTGCAGCATATGC